TCAAATTTCAGTCCGATACACCGAACTGGAAAATTTTTTGTCTCAGCTGATAGCTGAAGATCTCTAGTTTCTAAAAATATATAGTTTATGCATATTTTGCTTAAAAATATGCCTCCTAACAATTGTTAAAGTTTTGTCCATTTTGAAGTACGATTGGGGTGAAGCTCCCCCTTAAGAAAAATTAAAGCTTCGGCCTTCGTGCATGTGTTTCATGAATTGTTCATCAATTCATGCGTCACTACTGGCTTAGTGGGACCTGATCCGATCCCTTCCTCTGAGGCTCGAACGAGAGCATGCTATATAGCCGTCTACTTTGTTAATTATCATCTTAAAAAAAAAAAGCCAGGAGAGAGCACAGGAGTTTTCGCATATACACAATGATGGAGTTTTGGAAATGCGCCATCTCATTAAACGATGCTTTGCAAATATTCTTTTACGGTTTTCTTTTCATAGGTTTAATTATGTCTTTCGTTCCATTAGGTTTTCATTGAATGAAACTATTTCATTAAACTTCTGACTTATATTATTTATCAAGTTTTCTAATTATTTGTTTTGTGCATCAATGCATGATTTGATGATCGATGTTTTTATCACTGAATATGTATATGTCATGGAGTAAGTATATCTTTACAAGTTGTTTAACTCCTTCATATACATATACATAATTACCTAAATATCAGTCATCTATCGGTACAGCATAGGTCCATTTAGGCTATAACAAGACATAGTGAGTTAAAGGGTGACCTGGCACGGGTGCATGGTATTGACAGGCTAGTTGAATTAGGACTTCTGGTGCTGGTGGCCGTGATATTCCCCATTTTGCTATTTTATTCATATCAGACTACATACTGCCTAAAATAGGCAAACATTTTAAAATCGAATGGATTTTACCTTTATTACTTTCCTCGAGCTTCTCGAGTTGTGTTTGTATGACACCATCATTACTTTCCACTGAAGAAATCATGGTCAACGATTGGTTTGAATGAATCTTTTCTCTTCCCACATTAATTTCGTCTTCTTCCCCAATTGTTGGAAGCAACTCAGCAAATGCAGGAAATTTAGTTGTCTTTTCTTCACAATCATCTTCGTTATTTTTGAGTACTTCCATTTCTGGCTCGCATTTGGTATTTTTATGATCGTCCTCATCAGCAAATGAGGTAAGAAGAGAGGATTTGTTTAGCGAACCAGTTTTTATACAGTCTTCAACATTACCAGTAAAAGAAGACACTGATTGCAGTAAAACCTCACGGTCCTTTATGTTTGGAATGTTGAGATCATCTATTTAAAGCAAAAATTGCCAATCAATATAATCATTATGAATTATCCGATGGGCTAACATTGTTTCCCCAAAGTCGTCCGTCCCGATGGAGTCATCTTATTAAACTTAAAATGTAGACAATGTTTGCATGAATGACTAGAACGTCTTACCCAACAGTAGTTCATCAAGTTGTACAAGAATTGCTCCAGTCACCATATTTCCTGCAAAACATACATTATAATTGACGTTATAAATGTCATGATGGATTTTTCAAAAGTTCTAAACTACGACAGATCAAAACTCGATCATGTAATACAAAAACTGTAAAAACTGTATCCACGGATTTGGTTTCACTTTATGCAATCAAACCCATTTAGCATTCACATTCAGTTTTAGACAAAGAAAAAAGAACAGTGGAAATTGGACAGTCAAGCAATTTTCGGTAAGGACTTTAGTAGTATCTACCATTTGTAATTTAAGTATCTATACCATTATCTGTATCTATGTGTATAATCATTATAAAACAAGCATGCAGGTATCATAGCCGGTTATCTTGTATTCATCAAAGAAAAAAAGAACAAAGTCATAGCAACCTGGCCCTGCGAATCTCAGTTCCTACCGGAGGGCCTACACTTTCATTTTTCACAGCTGCCCCTGGCGATGTCTAAAATTGCAGATAAAGTTTCGAAGATTCCACCAACAAAAATCCCATCTACAATAAGATTGTCTTTTCTTTCATACAACATAGATACACCACTGATGCATGACGACAAATTATGGCAGTGAACTTCATTTATGTTGACATTTACAGAAGCAAGAAAATTAAATTTCATACAAGACAAGTATTTGCATATAGAATTGAGCAGAATTAAATATTATTTTACTCTGATAAGTCCCGATCGACCACCACCTTCTGGACGAGTTGTCATTGTGACAATTCAGTACTTACCTATCCGTCGTTAGGTTTCCCTGGCCACCCATATATGGTTACTCACTTTTCATAGTACCTAATGAAATCAGTACCTTAGATCACTTATAATAGTTACTTACTTTTAAACTTGCTGGTGTATTTTTCAAGTCCAATTGCCTTCAGCCAATCAGCCACATTATCTGCCTTCCATGTTAAAACAGTTTCCGTTGAAACGGTTCCATCCATTAACAAAGTCATTATATACCAATTTGATATGTATTAACTTAACTTAACTTAGCGTTTGCTGTTCGTAAATGTTGTGAAGTCGTGGACGTTGATAGTCACGATGATTTAATAATGTCAATGAACAGTACACATATTTATCTAAATGCATGCATGGAATATTACATAGTTGCAAATATGTTAATCACAGTTGCTTCATTGAAAGGAAGTCTTGAGAACATGCCAAATTCCATAGTTACCGTCTATATTTACATCCAACAGAGGAGAATTACATGTCTTCATTTCTTCATTTTTGTGTTATTGAAACTTTTCAGTGCATGTATAAAAAAATAAATGAAAACTGACGGGTAAATAGCAAAGTATACAACTCATTCGATGTGCATTTACCATATGTAGCTGTTATACGCTGAGTGGAAAAATTTTTCTTATTTGACAACTTAATCCTAGGGATATTACTTAACGCAATCATTGTATTGTGTAAAAACTGTATTATACAAAAGTTATAGAACTTGTTTTGTGAATTTTCGGAAGTATATGAATGAGATGACGACGTACGCAGGCAATAACCGTAGAAATATCTACAATGGGTAGAAGTATACCCAAAATTCTAAAAAAACAGGACTATAGTTTGGCTTATAAACATTTTTGAGGAATTATTACTAGGTAAACATGCGTAGGAGCAGAACGGATTTTAAATCAAACAAAATTAACCTCTAATTCATGCTACTTTCCATTACTTGGCTTAACTTTGCGTGCATTTGCTCATTTGTCATTGTTAGACTGACGTCCATCATTAGATGAAAAACAAAGCAGGAAATCAGTATATTTCCACGCATCTTCTAAAGCTCACTCATGATATTTATTGCTGAATTTTGGAAGATTTGTGGAAATATATTTTCTGTTTCAGTACAAGTTATAGATGTCAAAGTTTCAAGATAGGCTTCAGTTTCACTAGTAACAACTAGTAAAACTAAAAGCTAGGCTTGCAAAGAGTCGAAGACCGTTATATTATAGGCTCTCGAATGAACTGAAATCGCATGACTTACTGCATTTCTTTGTTTTCAGTCTTTCGTCTTTTCTTAATTTTATATGTCCATGTTCCTAATTAAAACATGGCTTAATGACGATATTCATGACGTCAATTAAAATGCTGAACTTTTTTATTCATTAAATGAGACAAAGAAACGATCATGGTGAGTTCTCACCCACGTTCTCCCAAGCCTCTGTATGATTTTACTTCTTCATCAATTAAATGAACTGATGAAGTTCCGTGAGGTCGTTGAGGCTGCGGCGTAGCCAGCTCGATCATTGGGGGTCCATATTTATATATTCATGTTCTGCATTATTAATTTCTTTTGAAATCAATTGTTTTTAAGGTCTGTGAACCACTGCTGTGAACACGAATATATGAATATGGACCCCCCCCCCCGCCCAATTATCAAGCTGGCTATACGCCGCTGCTTTGAGGAGTGTATAGCCTCTAAAGGCCCACTTCCACATGGGTCTATAGCCAGGGACGCCGGAACGATGTGAAGGCAAGGGGGGAGCAGATTTGCGTGAAAGGGCACTTTTGAATTGATATATACTAATAGATGTTTGCAAAACATCGGAAGTTGAACTTCGCCTAATCATGTTTTCTATTTATTGGATGTTAGGGGTGGGAGGGGGTTCTCCGCCAGGCGATTGTGCTATTCTTGAAGCTCGATGACTGCATATTTCTTGCGTTTTCTGAAGCAAATTCGTAAAATAATTGCACTAACGTTTCTGACAATTCGCTATTTGGCCAAAGACAATCCTTTAAATTGAAAGGGCACCTTTTCCCCCCTTGCTCCTCTTGGTAAAGGGAAACGGGCGCGGTTGCCCCTCCTGCCCCCCCCCCCGCCCAGTTATGGCGTCCCTGTCTATAGCAAATCAAATAATAGCGCATGCGCCATTATTATGAATCAGGAGATACCGTTTACAAAATTTGATTGCATTCACACTTTGATTACATTCCTGCACATGCAGTGATTCCTTGCACGTCAGGGCCTTTTTTAAGGATTTTCCCGTGGGAGGGGGGGTGTATTATTTAAAAAGGGACCTTTATGTGACATAATATATTAAAGGGGGATAGCAATGGCTGAAGGCCACGTGTGTTGCCGAAATACGACATATGAATAGGGGGTCTGGGGGCATATTCCCCCAGAAAATTTTAAAAATTTGAAGCCGGGAATAAATGTCATTTCCTGCATTCTGAGCGTCCAAATCAAAGTCCCTGCCAGGGCCGCCCAGAGGTTGGCGGGGGCCCGGGGCAAAATTTTTTTTAGGGGCCCCTATCTAAAAAAATTTTCCTGGAAAAATTTTTTTCCGGAGAACAACCTCCCCCAACCCCCCCCCGTCGCCAAAAAAATTTCGGTCAGTGTACCATTTTAGGGGTAAAATTTTTTTTCCGGAGTACAAAATTTTTCCGGACGAGTACGTTGCAATTGCTTTCGAGGGACTTTATCTCATTTTTTTATGCCAAAATTCGGTATTTAGCCCAAGAAAATAGATATCTTGTCCTTTGCGCAGAAATATTTAACACACAAAAAAGGCTGGGGCAACAAAAATTTTTCAGGGCCCCCAGCAACTCGGGGCCCGGGGCAATTTGCCCCCCCCCTGCCCCCCCCCCCTCTAGGCGGCCCTGGTCCCTGCGAGGTTGCATCCAAATTGGCTCTAAAATTTATGCTACTATACTTACAGGTATATTTGAAATAAAAGAAGGAAAAAAACGCACAAAAAAAATAACAATAATTTATCATTACTTATTAAAGGGAGATAGCAATGGCGGAAGGCCACGTGTGTGGCCAACATACCACACATGAATGGGGGGTCAGCTAAAATTTATGTTAACTATACTTGTATTTGAAATAAAAGAAGAAAAAACGCACAAAAATTTAAAAAATATTAACAATAATTTATTATTACTTAGTGTTACAAAAACATAGGATGCGCACGCAGTGACACAGTTCCTTTAACAAAGGATAAATCCTAAAACTTACTTTCCGTCTATCTATTGGTTATTCTTTGCTGGTTTGTTTGTGTAAATTTAAGAAGAGGGACTTGGGGGGGGGACACAAGGGGGAATTCGGGGGGGGGATTTAGTATGTTAAAAAAGGCCCTGTCGCATGTGCATATTGAGCCTGCCGCACACGAGAGAAACTTGCTGAGCTAACCGCCGCGCGTGGCAGCTAGCTCAGCAAGTTGCTCTCGCCGTGTGCGGATAGTTTTCGTGAGGATTTGACCTCTCGTGGCCTTGAGGAAAATATCTATCGTGTTTGATATTTTTCACCTCGTGAGGAGAAAATCTCAGCGTCTGTGAATGTTGCGAGCTCAGTGCTGAGCTGCTTGAATCAATTAGCCAATGAGAAACCATAGTTTCTTCATGTTACTTGAACAAAATGGAGGAAAATGCAAACGATTTTGTCAATTATGTTGTTATTGAGTAGTTTTCCCAACGTGTGCGGTGAAATTGCATAGCTGAGCTTGCTGCCACGCGAAACGGTTAGCTCAGCCACAGGCGGCCCAGACGTGTATTAGTGTATAGTAAATATATCATTATAGAATATACTACACAGTAAAATTTGTAATTAATTTTATATTTTAAAATCATATTTACTTGCCTACTTTGATTGTATGTGATCGTCTTTTATTTCTGAGCGACTTTACATTCGATGCCTGCGAGTGCGACTGTCTTCATAGGTGACAGTATTGAAAGCAAAGGCTAACGATTCCAGTTCTCAAACAGCCGACACGAACAATTCAAATCGAAAAATATCCCCTTCAAATTGCTTTCTTCGCGGTAAAACTTCGCCAGCGTATAGAATAAACACCCATCTTCGAACATACAAAGCAATATTATGCCCCCCCCCCCCCC